CGCCCTCTCCGGTCCCACGTTAAAGCAATTCAGGATTATCCTCAGCCTACAACACTGCGCCAATTATGCCAATTCCTGGGGCTTGTGAATTTTTCCAGGCGCTTCATACCACACTGTGCCGAATTGCTACGACCGCTCACCGAGCTCCTTCGGTCGACCGCCGGCCCGTCCTCCGCCATTCCTTGGTCGTCAGAGGCCCAGGCCGCCTTTGCTGCTGCTAAGCAAGCGGTCGCTAACGCCGTGCTTCTCATTCATCCACGCAGCAACGCCCCTACTCGGTTGATGGTGGACGCATCCAGCGTGGCCGTCGGAGCCGTCTTACAGCAGTGCATTAACTCCGAGTGGAGACCCTTGTCGTTTTACTCTCGGAAGCTACTTCCTGCTGACACCCGCTACAGTGTCTTTGGCCGGGAATTACTAGCCATCTACGCTGCAATACAGCACTTTCGGCATTTCCTGGAAGGATGCTCGTTTTACGTGCTGACTGACCATAAGCCACTGGCGTATGTTTTCCGCACTAACTCATCCAAGTACGTGCCTTGTGAACTCCGCCATCTGGCTTATATATCGGAGTTCACGACCGACATCCGCCACGTGAAAGGAGCTGACAACATCGCCGCAGATGCCCTTTCTCGTATAGCCGCGGTTGACTCTCCACCGCCAACCATCGACTGGGCCTCATTCTCCTCGGCACAGCAGGATGATAGAGAGCTTGCCGCTTTTCGGGAGAGCCCCCGTTCTCTCCGACTACGCCTGGTGCCTCATCCATTATCATCTGAGCGCTTGTGGTGCGATGTCTCAGCTGACCTTCCCCGCCCTTTCGTTCCCGCTTCATTACGACGCACCGTTTTCCACTCCTTACACGACATCTGTCACCCTGGCATTCGGGCTACTCAGCGTCTTCTCACCCAGCGCTATGTCTGGCCCGGAATCAAGGGTGATGTGCGCGCTTGGACGCGGATGTGCCTGCCCTGCCAGATGACAAAGGTCTCCCGTCATACTAAGACGCCGCCCCAACCTTTCCTTCCACCCGGCCGTCGTTTCGACCATGTTCATCTAGACATTGTGGGCCCTCTACCAGTGTCTCAGGGGTACCGTTATATATTGACCATGGTCGATCGCTTCACACGCTGGCCAGAGGCTGTTCCAATTCAAGATATCACAGCCGAGACAGTTGCCCGCGTTTTCATTTCTACGTGGGTATCCCGTTTTGGCTGTCCTGGCACCGTGACAACAGACCGTGGACGTCAGTTTGAGTCCTCGCTGTTTACTTGCCTTAATCGCATCCTCGGAGCCAGACATTGTCGTACCACGGCTTATCATCCCTGCGCCAACGGCATGGTGGAACGCCTTCACCGACAACTGAAGACCGCCTTGACTACCCGCCTCAATAGAGCCACCTGGGTTGATGCCTTGCCACTGGTACTCTTAGGTTTACGAGCTGTCATCCGGGCAGACCTGCAGTGCTCAACAGCAGAGCTGGTGTATGGCACTTCTCTACGGCTTCCGGGAGACTTCTTCACGTCAACGAAGCTACCAGACCAGCCACAGCAATTCCTACAACACCTCCTCGACTGCGTTCAAGACCTCCGGCCCACTCCACCCAGACCTTCCGAACACAAGACCATATTCGCCCCCCCTGATCTAGCCACTGCAACACATGTTTTCGTGCGCCATGACGCGGTCAGACCACCTTTGACACCAGCCTACGACGGACCATTTCGCGTCCTTCACCGCACCCCCAAAACTGCCACTCTACTTCAGAACGGCCGTGAAGAGACAGTCAGCTTGGACCGACTCAAGCCGGCGTACCTGGAGACCGCCCTAGAAAGCCTCTCATCTACGACTGATCTTCCGTTGGAATACCACAAACGGCATGTCACATTCCGACTTCCAGTCTACACGGGGGGCCCTGTAGCGCCCTCGTTCGGGCGGCGCGCAAACCGGAAAGCGCGCGATGGCGACAGAAGAAAATAAAGAAGGCGCTAGGCCGTGGCACGTGAAGCCACGGCTCACGTTCTGGGCTGGCATCGGTTATCGTTCAGGCGTGTCTCTCTTTCGCTCCTGTGGCATAAGCCTACGAGGCAAAGGGAAGTTGTCTGCTACTATAGCTTTGTTGGGTTCCCGGAGATCAACACACAGTCGAATGCTACCATCTGCTTTTCGGGCTGCTACAATAGGAGATACCCACTCGGAAGCATTGACTCTCTCAATGACATCAGCAGCAAGTAGCTTCTCAACCTCGTCAAAGACCGGCTGGCGGACTGAAAATGGTAGGGGTCTCAGCTTCTGTGCGACTGGCGTGATGGAATTTTTCATCTTAACTTTGTGATGCACACCTCTTACAAGTCCCAGGCCAGGCAAAAACAAGTGGCCAAACTTGGTCCACAGTGTTGGCAGCATTCCAAACTTGGGAGGGCCAAGGGGTTTTTCATGTCTGGGGCTTTGGGGAAGGCCTGAACTCATTGCTGGAAGCTCTCAGCATTCCTGCGTGGACATTTGCAGGCAGCGCAATTCCTCTCCCATGATGCGAAGGCCAAGGGCTTGAACAGCATCCAGGCCAAGGAGAGATGTACCACATGGCGTAACATGAAAAGTTACAATGGCTTCTTTCCCCTTGTATGTGACTATGGCGTGAAATGACCCGAGAACGGGAATCTTCCTGCGCGAAAAATTCAGCAATGTAAGATGGCAACTTGTCAGTTGTACTGCGTTTGCGAACAAGCCTTGGAATTGGTGCTCACCCATAATAGACACGGCCGAGCCTGTGTCGCGGTAACTGATGCGACATTGACATCCACGTAGACCCCTGTGCTCTTATCAGGACGGACCGCCAAGATGCTAATGACACTGGTAGCATCCTCCTCCGGAACGATTTCCTGGACCTCTGCAGAATACCCTTCTCGGCCGCGACGGTAGCTGCGACATGCTCTCTTAAAATGGCCGCGGCGTCCGCAGGCAAAACATGTGCGACCGCGCGTGGGACATTCCGTAGGCGAACACCGTGCTGCGCCGCAGTTTCCGCAGGCATTTACATTTCTAGGCCCGGGGACAGCAGCGGCAACGGCATTCATATCAGGTGAAGGTGCGCTGTACGCGCGTGAGTAGCTGAAGTGGCGACGGCCCGGGCGGCGTGTGCCATTATCGCCGTTATCTCGTCGATCGTGCCTGGCTGAGCTGTCTCGCACCTGCTGCTGAATGCGCTGCACAGGATTGGCGAAGGCTTCGGATTCACGCTGGGTTTGCTCACGAAGCCGTGCTACCTCGACAGCATGATCGAACGTAAAGTTATCGCCCTCCAGCAGCAATCGCTCTCGTAGCCGCGGGCTCGTGACGCCTGCTACGAACTGTTCACACAGGTTTTCGTCCGCTTGAGTGGCGAAATTGCAAAGAGCTGCTAACTCCCGAAGCGCTACGGCGAAATCAGTGATGGGCTCACCCTGCAGTTGACGACGCTCCCGGAATCGATGGCCTTGAAGGCGGACGTTGCAAGGGGCGGCGGAATGCTTCGAAAGCATTTCAACGGCTACTTCGTACTCGTCGGGTGGGCGTAGGGCTTCCGTAGTCATGTCTTGCGTTCCAGTAGGTGCAGTGGTTCCGATGATTCCAGCGGCGGCATCTGGCGTGGCCGTGACACCGGGTGCAGCACTCGTTGTCTCTGCCTTGGTTTGCGTCGTACTAGGTGGAAGCGCGTCGAAAATACGCTGTCCTTCCGTCCCAAGACAGTGCAGCAGGAGGGCTCGGCGACGGGGTGCGGGTAGCTCGTTCGCTCCGGACGCCAGCAGAAACCTTTCGAACCGTCGTAACCATCGGGCCCATGGCACATCGGGCGTGCCGGGGGTGGCCAGAAAAGGAGGAGGTGGCAAAAGGCCCGTGGAAGCCATCCTCGTCGCCAGAATGTCGTGTAGCCAGCACGGCGCCACGTGAAAGTAACCACGCTACACCACAGTACGATCCATCACAATAACCCAGTTTAATCAGCGAGTATCGTTTATATACACATGAGCGCAGTGGCGCCATCTATTGTGAGTCCAATGACTCAGAAGGCCATCTGGTGCAAACGCACAACACTACAATTGTCACTAGAGGTTTGGTTGGTGTCTAATTGAAGGTTGAAGGTCCAGTTCATTATGCCTGCCAAAAGCTTGGCTGGGAATGTATTTTGACCATATTCAATGGGATATTGCCGTTTTCAAATGGTATTGACAGCCTTGCTACAGCTTGTGTGGTTCATTTTGCTTATATACTCGTTAGAAACTTTAAATAATCAAGAAACAACAGGTCGAAACAAAGATGGGTAACTGCTTCATGCAATGTCTAAATTGATGTCACGTCATGCCCCATTGTTGGGTAAACATAGCACACATGATTTTAGCGCTAGAAAAGATAAATTGGCAATATCATCTGATGCTAGTTCGAGCTTTACCGCCCCTTGGAATCATGAGAGTGTGTATTTCAATGATTGAGCTTGAAAGGGTTGCAGTTTGCTCTACATACATTTTGTGCCAATACAAAAAAAAGCAGTGAAAATTTTATAGAGGTCAGTGAACATCAAAGATTCCTGGAGTTTCTCATTAATGTACAGTATAGTCTCCTATTAAAGGGGGCAGGGGTGCAGCACCTGCATTGATTGTGCCATTTTAACCCCACTTTAACGCCAAGCTGCACCAAAACCATGAAACTTGCTCAAATTTTACCATGCTGCGCCAAAATGCCCAACCAGCCTCAAAATTTTCTCAGTTGCGCTAAATTCAGCGTGAAATGGAGGCCAAGTGGCCACCTGCAGTTCGCATCATCAATCAATCTAAACGTGCAATCTAAGCGCCCTCCACTCAAGTGTTGCCATTAGCAGTGGACTCGTGTGTACATACATAATCTGTAGGTGCTTATAGAAAACCATTTCGAAAACCGCAGGAAAGCTTTGCGTCTAAAACGCAAACTGGTAGCCCTGAAAACAAATGTTCTAATTTTTTGTTTTCATTTGTAATCTTGTGCAACAGGTGCCCCAAAGGGACAGGGCCAATCCAAAGACACACTCCAAGACAGGCAATTCAAGGAGAGACACAAATCCTCCTTCACGCACAACCAGAGGGCCCAAGCCGACTACAAGCGCAGTCGCGGCATGTACTCCTAGCATCCACCAGCGTCCAGCACGCAGACTTCAAGGGCGCTGACAACTGCGTCCGAGCGTGTAGCCGAATACCTGCAGTGCCACGTTGCAACAACTTGCACCTTAATGAGGTTTCGTGCGTACATGCGGTTGCCGGATGCAGCATCTACGGCATGCGTACACGACCTAATAATGTTTTTGGTTATGATAGAGGCGTTGCTAGTCCGTTACGCTTTGTTAGTAAGAGCAGTCAGTGTGAGTGGCTCCTCTAAATAAGCACCACCGGCTGGCACGCTTGTTATGTAATTCTGTGCGAAACATTGACTTCGCAGCAGACTTTATTGAAACAGCCCTACCCGGATCTGCTATAAGGGTAAATATGGAATATGCATATGCAACAGTGATGGAAGAATGCAAGAAAAGTGCAGCATTCAGTTTCTTTGTAAGTGGAGTGTTTTTTTCTTGTTAATATTTATGAGAAAGAACTATAGTGCCTCATTTTTCTGATGGCACTCAAGAGATAGTCCACTTTTCATCTCTTGTGCATGGAAAAAAAACACTGCAATGCTCATGAACTTTGATTTAGAAAAGCTACTTTTGAAGCTTCATTTCTGCGTGAAATGTAGTTTCAAGCAAGCCACTGGTCGAGATGAAAGAAGGCTATAGTTGGCTTCCATACAGTCACCACATTCTGTGACCAACACCTGACCACATGTTCAGGTGTTGGTGCCAACATTCGTGTGATCTTCGTGATCTTTGCAGGTGTGCAAACATTGCTACAGTTGACTACACTGTTCACTCTTTTGTTTTTCTGTACAAATGCTTCGTATTTGTGCAGCGAGAGAAAGGCTTTATAATTGATGCACACAGGTGTTTACAGGGCGTGAGTCCCTTGAAACTGTACATAAGATCAGACCTGTTCTTATCTCCTCATTTTCTTTTTTCGCGGTCCGTTAGCTAGTGAGTCCCTCTGCATAATGTGCCTTATGGAGCAAATATGTATCACTCTTGTACAATTTTTTTTCACTCCATGTCCTTTGATGCCCTTGGTCCTTTCTGTATATATTTTTGTTAAAACTATTGCTATTTGTTTTCGCATCTGTACAAAGGCAGAGTTCAGCTTTAAGCAGAGTTGCCCTTTCTTTTTTTGTTCGATAGCCGCAGTCTTCCTTTCGGCGTCAGGTTGAAACAGACACTGCAGAAGTCTAGTTTTAACCGCTGTCAAAGCCGATGCACACGTACGTGAAGCCTTGCTCGTATGCAAAATAAATTTTTGGGCTCTTTGTGTGTTAGGAGTAGCGCCTTTGTATTTTCGTATGTTTTTTTGCGAACAATCGTCTTGCACTTTTTTATAAATCTTTTTGTGCCACTGCACTAAATGAAGCTGGTAAATAGATCACTTGGCAGCGTTTTGCTTGTGTCTGTTAGCTCAGTTATTGAACTTTAATTTAATTCTCTGAAAAACTTTGAAGAAAGAATTTTCTTGAAGAGAGAATTTCTTTACCATGAGGGGTCCTCAGTATTGAATCACATAATTTTTATTTCGGCTTGCTAATATCTCGTAGAGGGCTAGGAGTTACTACATGAAAGTGTCTGTGTTGTTACGTACAATCCAAATGATGTACGAATAACTGTTTATTGGGGCGAACTTGTGCCCAAAAAGTAAAGGAAAATGTAGCGGCGTCTCTAACAGGCGATCAGCAAAAAGGGATCAGTCTCCGAGAAAACCTTCGAGCGGTGCACCACTTCTTTTTCATCAAAATCCCGTGATGAGGAGGCGCGCGCTGTCACGGCCATTTCTTGTTTGATCATCAAGCCGCTGATCTCTTGGGGGGGCGCACGAACTAGCGCGCGTAGTTTAAATACTGCGTTTGCCTTGCGTCATTATCCCTCCTCCAAAAACGCATCGTCCCGATGCGTAAAAGCAGTGTTGCTGAGATGGTCTGAATGCGTGGTTTCCATTGGAGAAATAGGTATTCCTCACAATCGGGTGTGTATAGTTCGATGTTCATTGCCTGTCATAGTATGGCTTCATTCTGACTACATGCATGATTTCTGTGCTCCTTCGGCATCCTGATGAGCTCACTTGTCCTTCCAGTGACACCGCGTAGTTCAAGGAGCTGACGCGACGAAGGACTCGGTAAGGGCCGAAATAGCGGCGCATGAGCTTTTCGGAAAGGCCAGGCGTCCGCACGGGAGTCCAAATCCAAACTAGGTCGCTTGGTGCGTAGTCGACTCCTCTCCGACGAAGGTTGTAACGGTTTGCATCCACGCGTTGTTGTTTTATGTGATGTCGCCCCAACTGCCGTGCTTCTTTGGCTCGCTGAATGAATTCGCTGATGTCAGGCTTGTGCTCTGTATTGTCGCCTACAGGCAGCATTGCATCTAATGGTGTGGTAACTACTCGACCATAGACTAGCTGGAATGGCGTCACTTTAGTAGTCTCCTGCACAGCAGTATTGTAAGCGAAAGTGGCGTACGGTAGTATCTTGTCCCACGTACGGTGCTCCAAGTCAACGTAAATGGACAACATATCGGTTAGAGTTCTGTTGAGTCGCTCGGTTAGCCCATTCGTTTGGGGGTGGTAAGCCGTTGTTTTCCTGTGACTTATGTGGGTAAGTTTCATAATGGACTGCGTCAGATTGGCTGTGAATGCAGTTCCTCTATCCGTGATAACCACCTTTGGGGCACCATGCCGTAGTACAATGTTAGTGATGAAAAATTCAGCTACTTCTATAGCCGTGCCCCTGGTGAGAGAGGCTGTCTCGGCATACCGGGTTAAGTAGTCTGTCGCCACTACTATCCATCGGTTGCCCATTGATGACGTAGGAAATGGACCAAGTAGATCCATTCCTACTTGTTCAAACGGAGACTCAGGTGGTTCGATTGGTTGGAGAAATCCTGCAGGTTTCAATGGAGGCGTTTTGCGTCTCTGGCAATCTCTACATGTCCTCACATAATGCTGTACAGCATCCAGTAACTTTGGCCAGTAGTACTTGGTGCGGATGCGAGCCAATGTTCTACTCACTCCGAGGTGTCCTGCTGCTGAGTCATCGTGGCAGGCTTCCAGGATTTCGGGTCGCAAGGCCGAAGGAACGACGAGTAGGAATTTCTCCTTGCTGTGCTCGAAGTTTTTCTTGTATAAAACGTTATTTCTCATGAGGTACGAGGACAATCCCCGGACGAAAACTCGAGGAACACGCACAAGTTGCCCTTCCAGATGCTTGATCAGTTTAAGCAACTCCGCGTCAGATCGCTGATATTCAGTCATGTCTGCGATGCTGACGGCCCCAAGAAACGGAAAGTCGTCTCCATCTTCCACAGGTACAGATTCCATTGGTGCGTGTGACAGGCAATCAGCATCGCTGTGCTTGCGACCCGACTTGTATACGACTGTTATGCGGTATTCTTGCAACCTGAGGCCCCATCTAGCAAGTCGCCCAGAAGGGTCCTTTAGGCCTGCGAGCCAGCACAACGAGTGATGGTCGCTCACTGCTCGAAATGGTCTATCATATAAGTACGGTCGGAATTTCTGTATGGCCCATATTACCGCCAGACATTCTTTTTCCGTCGCCGAATAATTTATTTCAGCTCTCGAAAGAGTGCGACTAGCATATGCGACCACTCTTTCCTCTCCGTTTTGCAGCTGCACAAGGACGGTGCCTAGTCCCAAATTGCTTGCGTCCGTGTGAATCTCTGTTTCGGCTTCTTCGTGGAAATGTGCCAGGACGGGGTGGTGTAGGAGTCGCTATCGTAGCTCATTGAACGCCTCTTCTTGCTCGCTTGTCCAGGTGAAAAGCGTGTCTTCTTTCGTCAGTCGGGTTAGTGGCTCCGCAATCTTCGAAAAATCTTTGATGAATCTTCTGTAATAGGCACAAAGTCCTAAGAATCGTCTCACAGCCCTTTTATCGGTCTAGGAAACTTTTCTACAGCTGCTGTCTTTTCGGGGTCAGGTCGAATGCCTTCAGAGCTAGCCACATGACCGAGGAAAAGCAGTTCATGAAAACCAAAATGGCACTTTTGGGGTTTTATCGTCAGCCCTGCTGAACTAATCGCTTCGAGCACAGTCCGTAGTCGTTCCACATGCTGATCGAAGGTGGCCGAAAAGATCACGACGTCATCGAGATAAACAAGGCAGGACTGCTATTTTAACCCGGACAGCACAGTATCCATCATCCGCTGAAATGTGGCGGGTGCGGAACACAGGCCAAATGGGAGTACCTTGAACTCGTATAACCCATCTAGGGTCACGAAAGCAGTTTTCTCGCGATCTCGTTCGTCCACCTCTATCTGCCAGTATCCGCTCTTGAGGTCTAGAGAGGAGAAGAATTTCGCGTCTCGTAGTCTATGAATGGTGTCATCGATCCTTGGAAGGGGATAGACATCCCGCTTTGTGATGACGTTCAATTTTCGGTAGTCAACGCAAAAGCGCAAGGTATGGTCCTTTTTCTTGACCAGTACTACAGGTGAGGCCCATGGGCTGGCCGACGGTTGAATTACGTCGTCCCTGAGCATTTCTTCAACTTGGCCTCTGATGACTTCTCTCTCTTTTGGTGACACTCGGTACGGGTGCTGGCAAATAGGTCTAACAGATTTATTGATTATGATGCGGTGTTTGATTATAGATGTTCTTTGCACTTTCGATGACGTGGAAAAACATCAGGCGTACTCCCGTATAAGGCTCTCGATTTTTCGTTTCTGGTTCGGTGATAGGGCTGCTTCGATGTGGATAGATGCGAGTATGGAATCTATACCGTCAGGGTGCAGTGGTGCAGTCTCGGAAGAATTCAAATCCGTAATCGGAACGTAGTCGTGCAAGTGACCAACAACAGTTCCCTTCACAAGGTGCTGCACCTCATTTCGGAAATTTGTCAGGAAGACACTCGTACACCCATCACGCAGTCATACAATACCTCTTGCTGCACAGATCCCTTTCTCGAGTAATAGCCCAGTATTGCTTTCTGCCATTCCTTCATAGTCGTTGTACACATTGCTTTTTACGGTGACAACGATGATGGATCTTACAGGTACTGTTACATCATCACCTGCAATCTGGAGCGCATTGAATCGTTTTTCACTCTCGAATGTCGCGATGGCGTGTTTCGTCGAGAACGAGACGCACGTTTCCTGCAAGTTTATCACTGCGCCATTGGCCTGCAAAAAGTCCATTCCGATAATTACATCTCTTGAACACTCCGACAGGACAATGAAGCTGGCGACGTAGGTGAAGCCGCGTATCCCGACTCTAGAAGTACACATGCCTGCCGGATCGATAAGGTTTCCCCCGGCGGTTCGCACTTGTGGTCCTATCCAAGGGGTCAGCACTTTTTTCAGCGTTCTGGCAAGTCCCCTGCTCATGACGGAATAGTCTGCGCCTGTGTCTACTAAAGCATTCGTTTCGTAGCCGTCTATAATTACCAACAAATCAGAAGCGACGTTATCATTTCCGCACGTAGTCTTGTGTCCATCATCACATTTTGAAATCGGCACTGGAGGTTGTTTTCTTGCGTCGGCAGCGGCCTTACCTCCCCAGGTCGCCGATTCTAGTTTTCCCGAAGCGGGCTTTGGGGAAGTCGCCTCTGAGAGTTTGAAGATGGGCGCAGACTTGGTGACCGATACCTCAGTGGCGTTGTCGACCGAGACTGATGCTGCTGCGAGGAGTGAGCACCTTGAAGCATTGACAAGTACTCCTTGATTTCAAAATGTCGCTCCCCATTCCGTAGACAGGCAGCGTTTACGGGAAAACCCCGAAGTCCAGCTCGGCGATATTCACACATCCGATAAAGATGGCCGGCTTCGCCGCAGTGGTAACAAAGCGTAATTCGATCAGGAGTGCGCCATATATCAGCTTTTGGGATCCTAGTCTCGGCTGGGGACGGCGTAAATCGAGGTTTCGGCAGATGCGTGCTTGCTGCGGTGAAATAAGGTCCAGGGGCGGTGAAAGGAGGTCCAGGGGCGACGAAATGAGGTACAGGGGCGCTTCTCAGTACCTCGGCGTACGAGACTGCGGGCTTCATCGGAACCGACGCTTGAACAGGCTGGGCTTGTGGCTGCTGCTCACGGACTGCCTGTCTCACCTCCTCCCGAACAACTTCCGCTAATGACGAGACCGTTGACGGGTTGCCGTTTAGCTTCTGAAGCTCTTCTCGAACAACCGATCGAATGAGCTCTCGTAATACGTCGATGCCATTCCCGAAGACTGCTGACACCGCGTCTACGGATGCGACGTCAACATCTTGATTGTAGTGTCTCGCTCGCTGTTGCAGAGTCTTTTCAACCGCTGTCGCCTCGGTGCAAAATTCAGTGACGTTCGGGGGGGGACATCGGAGCAAACCAGCAAAAATCTCCTGTTTCACCCCACGCATCAGGTGCCGAAGTTTCTTGTCCTCGCTCATATTTTGATCAGACCGGCGGAATAACCGGCACATGTCTTCCACATACATTGTGACGCTTTCATTGTTGCGCTGGTTTCTTGCTTGCAAGGCAGCTTCAGCTCTTTCCTTGCGGTCTGTACTCGGGTATGTGGCCAGTAGTTCCCGTCGGAAATCATCCCACGATCGGATGGTACCTTCATGGTTTTCGAACCACGTTCGTGCGCTGTCCTGCAATGCGAAATAAACTCGGCGGAGCTTCCGTTCTTCGGTCCATCCGTTGCAGTTGGCG